TACTCAGCGTCTGTACCATCCAACGCCACCGTCTTTTCTTCACCTCGTGGTCCGCTGGAACATGTTTAGAAGCTCTACATTAGTGTGTGTGTGTTTTTTTACCCCCCCCCCCTCTTTTACTCTGCGCGGGCGATAATTAATGAATGTTTGTATTTTATGAGTAATCGCCTAAGATGTCTGCGATGCTTCCGTTCCATAAAACAGTACTTCTTCTTCTTCTTCACGTTCACCAGCTGTACACTCTGGCGGAAAGTTCTGGTTGTTCGTCCACTACTGAACTGCAGTCCTGCTCCAGAACCTGAGTGTTGCGTGTGCATCAGTTTTACAGATCTCATTCTCTTGAATACAGACTGTTGGTTCCTTGCCTCTCCGGCAGATGCACTCCGACTTCAAAGGAAGCTCCCCAGTTAGTCGACTCTTACGACATGCTTTTGGGGAGGCAGTGGGTCTATTCTTGTTTTCCCCTACAATGGGGCCCCGGAACCCACACGGGGGAAAACAGTACTGATTTGACAATAGAATTACCAATTTAAAGGTTATTATTAGTTTGAATTCTTTTCCCTTCACAAATGCCCTACTGCTATAAATGCTCCTGTTGCCTTTTGTATTTGTAATTGTCACATATCGCTCCTGTCACGTGCCTGATTTAAGGGTTTCTCCTTAAGAACCAACAGCACTCTGAAATATGTTGAGTCGTTGCCTCGTATTGGTCTAAGGGATATCCCGTGGCCAAAATACGCTCAACTTATTTCAGGAGTAGGGCAACTCAAGCTTTGGCACTACAAAAAAATATAATATTCCTAGGCATACATTGCTGGACACCCACCCCCCCCCCCCCCCCCCTACTTAAAAAAAAGTAGTATACTGTCATAGCCATGTTAACACAGATTGTACTTATTACTCACACAAACATAAAAGCTAAACAGTTAGAATGGTGAAACAGGGACACCCAACTCAGCCATGGAAATTTCTGCATTTGATAAGTTCAATATGAATGCAAATATAAATGAATAGATCATCAAAAGTGTTCAGTGAATGGAGTTCAGGAATCAATGACACTACCCCGACATTGAAGCAGCCAGATGTTCTTGGAGTTTACATGAGTTCATCATGGGAATCACAAAGGTGTTGTGGGAAAAAGGCATGTAAATGAATAAGAGATCACTTATCCCAGTTCGTAGGTCAATGCTTCCCTCAGTCCATGGTGTTTCGACTGTAGTTGACTTAATAGGTAGCTATGCCTCGATTTTATCTGGTACAAGCTGACTGTCTCACAAGCGATGACACAGGAAGCATAGAAATCCAACAAAACTCGTGAAGACTGGTTATCTGGATTGATTACATAGGTGTCTGCAATTTCCACTAGTCCTGGAACTCACAAACAAGCTTTTGCCATGTTGAGGTAGTGGCACAAAAGGCAGGACATTTGAACACTATTTAGTCTGCACATGGAAAGGTTTAATGTTCGGAGCCTGATCTCTGGACATCAAGAACGGCCCAACACTGTGCGATCACACAGCTGAATCTTCCATCTCTGCAGCATTGGCCAACTTTAAAAAGACATATATTATGGTATTCGTAAACTATAATCAACTTACCCAAGCTTAGGAATTCTTCAAATATAGAACTGGTACTTTGAATGCGCCAATTTTCTACATAGACTATATAAACGTCTTGACACTTAGGAATCAGGAGAAAGAATGCAATATCAAATCAACTAGAGGATCTAGAAATGAAAATTATACCAGATAAAGGTATATATCAATATAAGGGACTATTTACCCCTCCGGACGATTTTAAGTTTGAAATGTGACTGCCCGCTTAGGAAAGTCAGAGTCACGACTCGTCCATAGTGTAGATTTGGCTGTTCACTTCATGACAGTAATTCAATAAATCTTTCAGTTCCCTCATCTTTAGCTACATTACTGCCCAAATAGGTGTAAACTCAACGTCTTTAATTGGGATACAATTAAAAAAAAACCGCATAGCAATTTTCCTGAATTATTATCATTGTCATTGCATTCTTCTAATGGATTTCTTGACCTAATGTTGTCATTTCGCATCAAGTGTTTTTAATCTATCGTTCACTCGGTGCTGGTTTTTGGAAACTAATCACTTTACGTCTTTTTAAATATTTCTTTTTAAAATTATTTTGTATCTATCTGAACATGACTTCGTCTGTACATGTCTGTCTCTCTGTATGTTTCTGATATTTCAACTTCTCTTTCTTTCTTGTCTTAAGGTTGATATATATAATATCATGTGCTTGTATACTAAACACATGTCTCCTCCCTCGCAGACATAATACCACACGTTCTCCCAGACTGTATTTCTGCCACTTGTGTTTTTTTTTTTTTTTTCGCATTTCAGGGATATGTATGATGTATTTAGGAAATACAATACGAAAGATTTGTGTCCCGTGTGTTCAAGTCTTCCCAAGCCTGAACAAGTATCTACTTGCCAAAAATACTGCGCTCAACAGAACTGGCAAGCTCAGTAACCAGTAAGTTAGATTTTAGTGTATAGTTAAACCTCGTTAACATAAACTCCATTAAGACGAACACCAGGTTAACATGAAAAAAAAATTTCGTCCTAGCAAAGTTGTATTATTCATAATGCATATATTTGTCGACGGTTAGCCCTTTTTGTTTTATCACGAACTGGTGATTTTTCGGTTGCTTAGAATTCGTGTTAACGAAGTTTGATTGTACACCCATCTAATGAATTGTGATGACCATTGTTTTGCTCCATAAAAGCCTGCCGTAGGATTAGCAAGCACCTCAGTATACAAACGTTAGTATTATCTTCGTATAGCCTGCAATTGTTGAGAATTTGACAACGCTTAATATTTGAGTTGGTGCTTATCGTCACTAGTGCTGTTATTGAAATTTTTTCAATATTTAAAGCATGCAGTGAGCTTGCTCTCTCATACCATTGAGTTTAGAGGTTATACTATGATTCGGACTCTCCTCTCCAAAAGCGTGACCAGAAAATTGCAATTTTCTGTACAAGTCAATACGTAATTCTATACTGTTGTGATTTTCTGATATATCATGGTCATTTATCTTTGTCATTCACAGAGAAAATCAGATCTCCGGGAATGATAGTTTATCCATTTTACGAATGTATTGATTTAATTCCATGATTTAGTTTATATTATAGTGCAAGTAATGTTTCGATAAAACTCCTCATCCTTACCGACTCGCGGTCATCTGCCCAGTCATTAAAAGACTATTTGAAAGTGAGCCGACAAGGCCTGAAAGAGGAAATCCTGACTTTTTCAACCAGACTCAGAAGCCTGGGATGCCAGGTAACCATTGGCTGGATCCCAGCTCACATAGGTATCGAAAGCAGCAGACAGAGCGGCAAAAAGAGGCACAAGCAGCCCTAACACAGTATTCACGGGACTGGGCTACACCAAACAAAAAGCAGTTATCAGAAACAACATTTGCAGAGAGTGGTCACCGCAGTGGTCGACCAGCCATAAAAGCAGAGTCGCCTACAAATTACTTAAAAAGCCCAGTCTCAAGAACCAAGTGCTGGCGCGGACGAAAATCCCGTACATCCGGAAACTGTGGAAGATGCGACTAGGGTGTTGGGCAGACCGATTCCGCACGCCTGTGTGTCAGGAATGCAGAGCCAACTACTCTATGGAACACTTCCTGTTGAGCTGTGTAACCTTTCAACTTGAAAGACAAGAGCTCGTTCTACACTTCAGAGCAAGAAACGAACTAATGAATGTCGAAAACTGCCTCATCGTGAGCACCCAGGACCATACTCAGCGACTTGCCAAGCAGTTCATATCAAGAACAGGGAAAGCGATCTGAAAGCCATCCCTCAACCCATACCAGAGCTGCACAACCCAATGGTACCGGATCAGATCCTGCGAGTACCAATGGCACCTGTCAGGACAGACTATCCTTCCCTCTCACTATCCCGACCTCACTTTATGTCCTCTGAAGCATTCCAGCACACCAAACCTATGCTACTTCCACTGTCTCTACCCACTGGCGAATACAGCGCAAATGCTAAAGATGTAACAGAACTCTTAAATAAGTATATTTTCAGAATGAAGAAGACAACGGAATCCACCAAAGGTCACCCTACGCTCTGAAGCAGATAGCTGAGGGCATTGCAGCAAAGGACACCAGCACTCGGGAATCCCAGTCTCTTTTACGCCACCCTAACCCCACACCACATGTATTTAAGCAATACCTCTCAGTCTTATTCCAGACTCTGCCCTAATGACGAATACCAACGTAAATGTCTTAATGTTAAATAAGCAAATTCTCAGGGTGAAGAAGACAACGTAAACCACTAAAGGCCACCCGAGGCTCTGAAGCAGACTGCTGAAGACATTGCACCAAAGGGGACCAGCACCCGGGGATTCCAGTCTCTTTTTCACCACCCTACACCCAAACCACTTGTATGTTAACAATGCCTTTCAGTCTTATTTCAGACCACGGGACCTCAACCCACCAGAAGTTCCAGCGTCGGGAAGCCATATCTCCCAAACTATCAGTCGCTCTCATTCTTCCAACCTAACTATCACATCTCCTGTCACATTCGAGCAAATTACCTCTCTCATTTGCAGACTATCTTACCTCCACTACTTCTCCACACTCTGTGGAAAAAAAAACATGGGCTGATCACAACAATAGATTGTGACGGCCCTGGTTGTCCTAAAAAGGAGCATTGTTGGAGACGTTGTGACCTGGTATTTGTTTGGCTTTTCCCGGCGGCTTTACAGAACGGCACCAGCGCAGCAACCAGCACAGGTAAACCAAGCACCAGCAAAAATCAGCTAAAACCCACAGATATCAGCACTAAGAGAACTGGACCAAACCAGACCCAAAAACCATAAGCACCACACCGGACTACACACCACAAATAAAAGGAAACCAAATAAGATGGCCAATGAACCTTCCTTCACATAGCTAAAAAAAAAGAATCACATTTGAAATTTGTGTTGGACAACTGGAATTGGAATTCAAGCTGGCTATTTGCAGCAATCCTATTACTGAGGTAGAGATATATATCATTTTACAGTAGCCTCTTAGTTCAGTAAAAATGCAATGCTGGCCAGTTGTGGTTTGCGAGCCACAGTTTGCTCACCCTGGTAAAAATGAACAATAATTTGTTTAGTTTTGTATAAATAATTGATGCATATTACAGCAAAGGTCGACACGCGATAAACATGTGCATGAAAACAGTATTTGAGGCAAAGGTTACTTTTTTTAATTTTAGGATGGCAAAGTCAGCTTCACTGTTGAACTGATGATAACGACTGGAGTCCTTAATGAACGAACATCGATGAATCGCCTCACGACGCTAAACGAATAAAATTGTGAAATATATTCTGCCACGTGTGTTATTTTTTCCAGTTTCCTAACATGTACAAGAAATGATTGCATTGTCAGGTATTGCGATAAAAATATGGGGTGAAGGTAAAATCTGTTTACTAGTAAAAATCTGTGAATTCTGATGAATCTGCGGAGGGGCATGTGGCATACATTTCCGAGTGTCACCATACATAAACTATTGTAAGCATATTTATCATTTCTATGGGTGACCTCATTTAAGTGTAGACTACTAATAAATAATAATATTATTTCTGCTGAATAGTACAACATATAATGTTATAAATTATATGATAAATAAGTGTAGAAACACATACTTGAACTGAGAACGTCTGTACGGGCTGGCGATGGGACATGAGGGGCCTGTCAACTGTCTGGGGTGAGCGGGTACCTCAGACTCTCTAAACAGTTTAAGGCGGGAAAAAGGGGTAGGGGGTGCCAACAAACTGTCATGAGTAAAGCTTTACCGCGATGATGTGATTGTTAGTGCCTGCCTAGAAAGGGGCCTTTCTTCTACTACTTTCGTTCGCATCAAATAAGTTGTCTATATCAGCAATTGTGTCTCTTATATAAATTTCATTGTCGTTTTTCAGTGGTCCCTAGAGTTTACGTTCCATTGTTGTTCTTTCTGGCCAACAGGTTTGCCCTGATGTGTCAATTTCGGTGCAGTTCTGGAGAACATGCTCTGCTGTCTGGCGGACCTTTCCACAGGTACACATGGCTGACACGCCTATCTTAATTTTTGTGGAAATGTGGTATAGTAATCGGTTGTACCTTGTTCTAAGGCGGGGCATATTGACTTGTTCTATCTGTCCATAATAAAATAGTCGTCTTGTGCTGGGGCTGGTGGTTTCATGATCGGTTTAATTATTCTTTTCTTTTTGTGGTATGTGTCTGGTACATCCGGCTTCACCTTTTTTGCACCTTCTCCTGCCATTTAATCACCTTTCTCATTTCCAGGCACTCCACAATGAGAAGGTATCTACTGCATTACGACTTGTAGCTCCGAGTTGTGTCAGAAGTGTTTGTAATTCTGGTAGTTTCCTAGTCATAAGTGATTCAAGTACGCATTTTGCATCTGTCAGCATTACCACATAATGTGAGCCTAGATTGGTATTTGTCAGTTTCTCAGTTGTTGTCTTGATAGCCTGAGTTTCTGCATCATAGTTATGGCATTACTTCCCGGTTGATACGCTGGAGTTATTCCTAGTACCAACTGGGAATTCTATGTACACTCCGGAATCACCATTTCTAACTGCATTTTGTGCAGACCCATCTGTATAAACTCTGACCCATTGTTCTTGTGGGTATTCTTCATCAATATAACTGAGGTTGGCCATTCTGCGTTGCACACTATCTTGCTCTTTCTTGTCAAATATTACTTTAACATTTTCTGGATTTGTACTGTTAGTTTGTATTTTTCTCTCAACGGGGTTTGTTCTGGAATACTTTTAAGTGGACAGCCAATTTCTGAAAGGTCAATAGTTTATCTACATTTTCTTTTTTGCTTGGTGTATAAAGCTGCTTCTTTTTCACCTTCACAAGGCTGCGTTCTGAAATCAATTTTTAGTGGGGTGATCTGGCTTACTGAGGAACTTTTCAGCTTGTATTTGCAACTTTGTATCTCTGCGTTCTCTCAGTGCCTGTGTTTTCCCAGCTTTCTTCATTTCTAATATCGGGGCATGTTTAATCGCTCCTGTGATGACTCTGAGCGCTTGATTTTTGTCCAACTCCTTTAATGTGCTGAACATCATGTAGTTGACCCATATTCCAAGTGTATGCTCTGCTTGTATACTTTATTGAGTATTTTCCCACTGGCTCCCCATGTGGTTCCACTTGGTTTTCTTAGTATGACTGTCTTCCTCCTGGCTTTGGTTGCTGCCTTGTTGATACTTTTTCTCCATGTCAACCTGTCATCAAATGTGACTTCGAGGTTCGTGTGCTCTTCATCATCTCTCATGGATTTTCCTTTTAGTTTTTATGATGGCCGCTTTTTTGTTTGGTGAGAGATTGAAGAGTGTGGTGCTACAGTTGTCCTTGTTAAAGTGGCCTTTTCTCAAAGGTGACTAGCTTTGTCAGTTCCCCTGTCTGTATCTACATTACTTCCCTAATTAGATTGAAGATGGGAGAAATACCTGGT